AAAGAGACAGAGAGAGAGAGGGAGAGAGAGAGAGAGAGAGAGAGAGAGAGAGAGAGGCAGAGAGAGAGAGGCAGCAAAGATACCCATACAGCATGGCTGGTCATCTCCGCCCGGGGAACCTTGTGCGTTCCCTTGCCTCGGAGAGACAGCGAGAGAGAGAGAGAGAGAGAGAGCGAATTTGATTTTGCCTTGTTTGCTGAGTCACGACATGCCTTCAAGAAAAGGGCAGCAGAAAGGCCGGGAGAGGGGTTGGGTTAGAGCTGTCTTGTTACAGTGTTGTGCGCTAGCCCACCAGCCTTTCATTAGTAGCCGTTCGCCTCAGACCTAAGGGTGCGGAAGGAAGAATGGGGAGAAAGAAAAGAAGAAAACAACGAGAGAAGACACGCTCCTCAGAAGCGGAGAAGAAGCTGAGAGGCGATTACTCGCCCCTTAAGCAGCAAGAAACAGAGAGAGATAGAGAGAAAGAGAGAGAGAGAGAGAGAGAGTGAGTCCTGCGGGACTGCCACCCCCCTATACCCCTAGCAAAGACAAGCAAAGAATGAGTTGAGGAGAGAGAAGAGAAAGAAAAAGAGAGTTAGAGAGTGAGCTAGGCCGCGAGACAGAGAGAGAGAGAGAGTGAAACCTCAGCCAGTCGACTCTGAAGCTGCACCGGCGAGAAAGCAGACATGTTCCGCTACAGAGCAAGGTTTCGACACTCCGCCGCCAGATGTGATGTAGGCTCAAGGCGCTTGGCGCCAAAGCGAGCTGACCCAGCCACTATCGGTGGTGCAATTAATCTCGAGATTGTCAGAGCCCAAGATGCCGTCGCTCACGAGCATGGTCTCTCTCTCTCTCTCGCTCTCGCTCCCTCTTCCTCTTCTTTCTTCCTTCACAGAGTCAAAGAGATTTGCGGCAATTGTGGCATCCATTTGGCGAGAAATGCCAGATGGCCGCATTCACGACAGTATGTTTTTCCTGGTCTCGCTGAAGTTGAGATCACACCTTGCTTACCCTTCCGAAATCATCACACCGATATAAAAAGAACTTCATTGACTATCTGATCTGAAATCCTGTGCTATGTCACGGATCTTCAATGTTGACCCTGCAGCCCTGCATTATCAAAGGCGCTCTGAAGCAAACCCAGCTTTGGACTGAGGATATCCGGAGGTCGCCGTCGGCGCTGCTTTGGCACTTCGGGTTGAACGCCTTCCAGTGGCATTTGCCCCAGGTAAAGCCACGACAATGTACGGACACGGCCGAAGCTAAATTCACTCAGAGCTTGCACCAAGGCCTTTGCATTTCTTGTGCGCTTGCCTGAGACTTGCTTTGCATATGTTGCATGGTTTTCTGCAAGACAGTTGCATCACTGGGCCAGGAACTGACTTTTTCGTGGAAACTTAAACAGTCCTCGAGTGGTGATTCGCGGACAAGCGTTTGGTATCTGAGCTGCAGCAGTGCTGTGGAGCTTCGCATCGCTGCTGTAGCCACAGTTCAGGGTCCATGCCAGCTGCCAAGGTGTAGTGATGGCAGCACCCATTCCAGACCAGGCTCAATGGAATTGGTTGTCAAGTTCGCATTGTCGGTATACCTGTTGCACATCCTGTGGCAGAATGTTGGGCTGACAGGCGTTGATGCAACTCAATCAGGACCAGCGTCAGGGTGCTCAGGGTCGTGTTGTCGTTCCGTCGCTGTTCTACGGCTGATACACAGGCACTTATGCCTGTATGCGGGTGTAAGGAACAGCATTGGGGAGCAACAGCTAGAGGAACGAATGTCTTCAGTGGCTTCGGCGTTCTTGGATGGTGACCTGGCGTGTTGTTGCTACGACACCACATCCAGCCTGTCTGACTCAACTTATTGTGTTTCACTCCGTTGTGTTCACTTCCGAGTTATCGTGTTACGACCATACGGCCTGTGGCATGGTGGTCGTGGGCGGGAAATTCCAACACTCTCAAGACAAGTCTCCACCTGTGCGGTGCACTTTGGGTTCTTCGAGGGTTCAAAGCTCCAGCTGCAGGGTTCACCGGCAAAACAGGGCAGAACATGTTCTGCCGATGTTGGGAGCTTTGCCACACCCCTCGAAGTCATTCAAAGTAGCTTCGCATAATGGATACATACATACATACATACATACATACAGACGTGCATGCATACATACGTACACATACATACATACATACATACATACGTACATACATACGTACATACTCATATACTTTCGGTTAAATGATTCGATCATCTGTGCTGTTTCGTTTTCAGTTCTCGATCTTAAAATGACGTTCTTGAAGGTAATTCATGGCGGATTGAAAGGCCAAGGATGCCATTGTCTAAAGGGCATCTGGCCGTGAATGATAACAGTGGCTATGCAGATAAACCGAATGACTTTCGACGATTGAATTTAAGAAGTGTCCGCAGAAAGCATGCAGACTAGCCAGCTCTTATGGAACAGTATGGAAGACTCTTATGACTCTTATGAATAGTCCCGAGTGAAACAGAGTAGCAAAAGCAAAAAGGGGAGCGCAACAGCTCGACCAGTCGACGAGGTTTCGAAACATGTCATGGCACAGGTAGGAAGAGAGTCGCTGGTCCGGGCATTTCCGCGTTTCCGTGTGGTTGGAAGCCCATTCAGAGGCCCATTGCACGACACAAAGCAGACTGCCAACTTTCGACTGACGGCATCGGAAGGTAACGCCAAGGGTTAGAGAACAACCGAAGCCAGGTAGGCACGGAAAACGGAACCGGCAAAGTGGGAAAACCAGGCGAGAGGGATCAGAACTGGGTTTCCGGCCTCGTTCAGCTCTGTCACCCCAAATGGCCAACATCAGAGATCAGATCCGCGAAACTCCAAGTCTCGACGCTCCTCTTGCCTTCGCACGGCATCTCCGAGAGCATCCGTAAATCTCCCCCCCACCTCTTACCTTGACGTTATTAAACAGGTTGATGTTTGTCTCAACGTGGTCCCGACAGATCATAGCTTCGCATTTTGTCAAGGCAGCTCTGTGTTTTCTGACCCTTCATATGATTTCTTGTTATCGCAGATCTTGGCCCTTTTCTCATTCGAAGCTTCTCAATTCTCGATCCCGGATGTGTCCTGTTCTCCATTCACTTAGCTTTCCGATCATGTTTCTCGATCTTGACGTTGGCACGTGGCCCACCATGTTCGCTCTTGCAGGAGCTTCAAGACTTTTTGCGGGCCGGTGCCCGCACTGGTCAGCGCGAGAAAGCTGCCAAGAGGATCAACCTGACCTTGAATGGGCTGGCTCGCACCCTGTCTTCAAAAGATTCCAGGTTTCCTTTCTCATGTTGCTAGGATTCTAGATTTGCGAGGAAGCCGCAGACCGCTTGCCCGAACCTCTCTGCATGCAAGGATTAGAGACAACGCAATAATGCAGGTCGCAGCCCGTTTTCTTTTCTCAGAGCACGTTGAATCAAGGACAGCTGGGGCTGAATGGATCGGTTCACATGCTTCCAGCTTGCAGTAACTGCTGCGTGTGCCCGGCAAATTTTTGCGTCGCAGCGCTGTTGTTGCATGTCTGGTCTCTCGCCATAAGGTTTGGTTCATTTTCGAACGGCTTCAAAACCGGGACCTCGGACCTGGACGTTGTCTTTGTGGGAGCTGTGGATGAGAGTGCTATCTCCATCCTGCAGACGCCGGTATGCAGGGAATGGCTTGAAGGATGAAAAACCTCCAGAGTATGTTTATGTTCCCATGTCTGTGGAAGATCCTTCTCGATGTGGATCTCGTTGCAACATCTTAGGAAATTTTCTGACCGTTTGGATGGCCTCGGATTTGACAACATTACAAAGATCTTTCAGGTGGGCTACCGTCCTGTTTCGAGGGCTATTGATACCCGCACAGAGCACAGAACTTGCATGTGGCTGAGCTGCGCGGCATTCTGCACTTGTGCACGCAGAGTCTTACAGTATAGTGTTGCTCGGTGTCTCTTTTCAAGCCTGAACCAGGCAAATGTGCCCCTTCTCAAGCTGACTGACCGCAAGGACAACATGGAGGCCGACAGGCCGTTGTGTTTAGCATGGCTGCCTGTCACGGCCAGACTGCAGGTGGATTTTTGCATCAACAACGAGCTGGGGGTCAGGAATTCCCTGCTGCTCAATACGTACCCTGTCTCAATCAGTTAACTCTGCTGGATGCTGTCAAGGGCGGCGGCCTTCGATAAGTCGTCATACATCCGAGGTACTGCAAGTACGACCACCGTGTCCTCCAGCTCGGCCGCTTGGTAAAGGAGTGGGCAAAGAAGCATGAGCTCGTCGGGACTGCAGACGGCTGCTTGAACAGCTGCTTGGCGAAGGGGTTCAGATGATCCAGGCGGGATTTTCAGATAGCTTATGGTGCCAGGACTTGTTCTACATTAGTCACATAAGGATAAGGTCGGGGGCTGCTATGCGGAACTCGGGCACGTCATGCATGGCATGAAATCAGAATGCAGCTGCACGGTGCTCACGGAACTGCGCAGCCTCAGCCTGAGACATGTCGAAGCAATTACCCTTATCGGGGCCAGTTCGTTTGTCCGCGCCACGGAAGATGAGCTCGGCGGTTCTCAATTTATTTTTATATAGCCTGTACCCATGCAACTTGCAACAGCCAATCTTTGGCTGATGTGGGCACTCCCGGTGCGGCATCCACGGAAACTGGAACACCGCCGCGACACCAGCTTGACGTACGAAGCTCTTCGTACTAGGCAGTAGGAGCTCGATGTTCCCGCTTTGGAACTGCACCGGCCGTGAACTACCTGTCCACGCGCTGCAGCACCAGAGCAGTTAAGAAGATCCTTCTGCCTCGGGTGTGTCCCTCCTGTACGTTGAGCTCGTTTGGAGCATCCGGCTTGTATATGACAGGGTTCTCACAAAGCTTGCCTTTCTGAGTGTACTGCACATCTAAGCCAATCATCTTGGCATTAAATTCTCGGACTCCGAGAAACCTTCAGGCTATGCGTACATGCTCCTGGTGGTTTTCTTCCTCCAGCAGGTACAGCCGCCGGTTGCAACTCGGGCGCAGGTATTGGGAGCCGAGCGGCCCGAAGGCTCAGAGTTCTGAGCTCTGAGAGCTCTGAGGTGCAGAATCTCCAGGCCATGGACTGCGAGTCGGTTCCTGTGTCAGACCGCCGCTTCGCTTAAAGTCTCCTAAACACTGCAAGTGCTGGCAAGTCCTTTCATAAGGCAAGTGGGGCGGCGAAGACATCTGGGAGACCAAATTTTTGGTCGATGTCTCGCTCTCATCTTGGTGTAGCCGCCGGAGCTGAGGAGGGTTAGCCAAAGCACCCGGCAAGCACAGGTTGATTCAATACCGAAGTCGCAGAATCAGATGTCGATTGGAGCGAACCTAAGATTCATGGCAGACTCTTACTGCTGTGCAGCACAGAGCTCCTTCTCCCAGGTGAGCTACTTGTAGGCTTCTTCCGATTCTACACGCGCGAGTTCAACTGGCGGCAGCATGCCGTCTGCATGCGCCTGCTGCCGCCTCAGACCAGAGAGATGCTGGCATTGCGAGGCTTCGCGAGTTTTTGGACTTTCTTTGGCTTTTTTGTCATTGCGCAGTACACCAGACGCATGCGGTGCCAACTCCAGTCCAGTCCAGGCAGAAACCTGGACAGAACGTCGACAAGTACTCATTGCTGCTAGATTGCAGTGTAAGGGGGCATTTCTGCAGACGCCTCCCAAGTCCAAGCCAGCCCTAGTGCCAAGGTCGCTCCCGACGAACGAAGAGCAGTGGTATCTGGAAGATCCCTTCGATCTCAAACACAACCTTGCAGGCCATGATGCGATATGGATGGCGATGATTTGGAAGTGTGATTGCTGTTCCTTCACTCATCCGGTTCTTGGGCAGGAAAATGCAGCCGAGCTGGCAAGAAGCGGATTGTTGACGAGATGCACAACGCCTTGAATGTGCCACTTGGCCTGGCCTTTCACTGCAGTCAAAACGCCCAGACAGTTCCAGTGCCGGATGTATCGGAGCACGCCCTTAAATGCTTCCCGCAGCTTCCACCCTCGGCTTGAAGGCTTACGTCAACTGGCCGATGGGCGAAGTGTTTGCCGCCCAACCAGAGCTGCTTGATTTGAGGTTATCATCGGAGTCGAAACTAACCATGGAAGCTTTGAAGCCATGCAAAGCATTACCGCTTCACTTCATTTCACTTCACACCTACCCGGGGGGCTGGCGTTTTGCACAACGACGTTCGAAGCACATCAAAATACCAGCGAGATCCAATCACCATCATGGCAGGTATGTAGAAGTTCTTCGGTGCTCGATGCTGTGGAGTACAATCTGGCATGAGATGTTACCACTGGAACCGCAGCCGTGTGTGAGCACTAGTACAGCGCCAGTTCGTTTTACCTGAGTGCTCTTGTGACACCCTGCACCGAGGTCCGGAATACTTTATGAAATGCCGCATTAGTCAGGACCGCTGTTCCTGCCTTTGTAGAAGTCTGATCTCTCCTATCCACCTTGTGAGGCTTTGATTGCTAGGTAAGCTCTTTGTGTTGTCTGATTTTGGTGTTGCCTGAGAACGTCACGCCACAAGCCTTGCTCGAAGAGTTCGAGCAGTGTGATTTGGTCCCGAACTGAGCTGTTTGCATGCTACGCATGGAAATGCACGTGCTAATGTTCAGTCTGCTGTCCGTGGACTCTAGACTAGAACCCTGTAGATGCGACGAAGGGCTTTAGCCTTTCCCACATATCATATCAGTGTGAATTGCAATGCAGAGTAGCTGCTGTAGCTGAAGGTGAAGCTGCACTTCCCAAAGTCTGATGGCACGGTCCGTCTCAGAGATGCAAATAGGAGTTAGGAGAGGAGTTGGACTGTTGAGGGAGAAGATTTAACTGTGGTTCAGACCTGCCAAGGAATGCCACAAGCGTATTTGCAGTTCGGGGATTCAGCCAGCCGCCGAAAAGCCCATGCGAAGAACGAGAAGTACATTCTCGATTGCCAGCTACAGCTGCACTACAGCTTCCTGGCCTTGCAGCCTTGCAGCGAGACAGCGAGACAGAGAGAGAGAGAGGCTAGCGTCCCAACCCCCAAGCAAAGCAAAGCAAAGAGAGAGAGAGAGAGAGTTTCAGGGGATCCCTTCCTTACGATGCTTCTGTTCAGGTGGTTTGTCTTCAGGAGATTGTCTTTTGTGGGCTGCACTCCTTCTCCGGGGGAATCCCTCCTCTGACTTTGAACAATTTTTCATTGCGGCTTGCAAGGGATCACCGTCTCAAGGTTTTCTTTTCGATCTAGGCCCGATCACTTTTCGTTCTTTCGGGTTACGGGATCCTTTCTCGTTGAGCTGATGCCTTCATGCCTTGATGTTGTGAGCGATCTCTCAACGAGCAAAACTTGCCTCGGTTGAGTGCGCTATCGTCCCAAACTGCCTCCCGCACATGTCGGGGGCGCCGACTGGCGCGCGGGCAAGGGGGGTAACCTTCTTGCCCATAACCCTGCCGAAAGAAAGAGAGGCAGAGGGAGGGAGGGGGCAAGAACTCGGGGGCTTAGCAACCGGGAGCGGCGTAGCGTTGCCGCGAAGGGGAAGGGGGGCCTGCACCCTCGACCCCAAATGCCTTGCAAGCTAGCAAGCAAGAGAGACAGAGAGAGAGGGAGGGCGCGGAGATGAGGCCGGGACGCGGGTTGGGGTTCTTTCGTGTTCAGGGTCGGGGGCTTGCTGCCAGGGGTCTGTCGCAGGCTTTGTACTCTTGTGCAGCGGTCTTTACAACCCCAAAGCTTCTCACTCCATAAAACAGCGGGCCGATGGCCTGCGGGTAGCACGCACGCGACCCCCAAGCCCTGCAGAAAGAAAGACAGAAAGAGAGAGCGAGAGAGTCTGTGTTCAGGGTCGGGGGCTTGCTGCCAGGGGTCTGTCGCAGACTTTGTACTCTTGTGCAGCGGTCTTTCACAACCCCAAAGCCTCTCACTCCATAAAACATCGGGTGAGGGGCGGGCCGATGGCCTGAGGGTCGCACGCGACCCCTAAGCCCTGCAGAAAGAGAGAAAGAAGAGAGTAAGACAACCGCGCCCACCCCCACTTCCGCTCCGACACCGGCAACGGGCGCCAAGAGAACGCACAAGAAGAGATGGGGGGCAAAAAGAGCGGGGAGACCACCTGGACTTCATGCAAAGGGCAGGGAATGTCGAACAACATTGGAGTTGCTACAGAGACTGCTGCAGCTGCTAGCGGAGCAGCAGAACCCCAACGTGTTGGAAGAAGTTGTCACGGTCCTCCACCTGCTACAGTATGCCCCTCCAGCGGGAAGGTCCAGAACGCTCCGAGACAGGAGGGGGCGATGAGGTCCCTGAGCGTACTGAGAGGCTTGCGCGCAAGGCTTGGATGCCCTAGCACCGGGTGAAGGAGGTTATGGAGGTGGACAGCCAGGGGTCGGGGCCATGTGGCTTGCTACATCCGAAGGGGCAGACTACACAGAGATCTTCCCAGAGGTACGAAGGGCATCACGGAGTTCCTGGGAGAACACATCTGGAGATACAAGTAGAAAGCCAACCCACAGAGGAAGTACCACAGGAGGGAGGGGCGAACCTCCACCGTAACAGAGAAACCGAGTCCCCAGACCCGGGAGATGAGGAGAGGAAACTTCGGGAGGAGCTGGAGCCTTATGGACCAAAAAGATCCCGCGGACTGGGAAGTGCAAGCCTAGTTCGAGCGAATCGCTGCTTGACGTGCTGTATTATAGGCGGCGTAGACAACATTCCCTGGATACAGATGACTAGGGGGTGTTCTGCGACTGGGTGACCTCAGGCTGTGGGGGGGGTCCTTAGGTCTACGGGGCAACACCACACAGAAGCAATGCCTCCAAGTAGCACAGACGAGGGGGCTTCACATGCATGAACCAGGGGCAATCGGAGACCTGCAGGTGTTGGTGGAATGCGGTAGTATGTATGACTTCTTGGTTCTGCATGTATCCGACCCTAGTAGAGACAGTGAGGCCCACCCAAATGGGGAACTTGTTAGCTGGGGGAATGACCACTGAAGAAAGGGACAGAAGGAGGAGCTGAGCATAACACTTTGGTGTGCGATGCTTTAGGTGTTGTAAGGGAAGCAGCAGCCCCTCAGTCTCTGTAGCTCACCATAACGCAGCAGGAGCGCCGAAAACCGAGTACCAATACTCAGCCTGTGTGAAATGTACGGTGTGTTGAATGAAGCTTGAAGCAACAGGGGCGAAGCACCAGCAGGAAATTTGACAAAGGGGCAGAGCGATTATGGGACCCGGCTTAGCATGATGTGCTTCCTTAACGGTGTTGCCTGTTGAAATCGCTTTCCTTATCGGGGCTGTATGCCTAGACGACCCTTGATTCCGTTCAGTCCACTACAAAATGGGGTGCGCACTCGCGCAGAGGGCGGGGAGAAATCCTCTCCGCAGGCCCGCAGAAAGAAAGACAGAGCGAGTAAGCAGGACAGAGAGAGAGGCGAGCGAGGAGAGAGAGAGAGAGAGAGAGGGGGGGGGACCTCTGCGTTTAAGGGCAACGAACGCAGTGCTTCAGGCTCGCAGCATAGCCTGGCGGAGGCCATTCAGCAGTGTCATTTTTCAACATATGAGATGGCAGCCTCGGTCGCAAAAGGATCTCTTGAAACCTTGTTAATCCAGGCATCGCAACATGCTGCAGCTAAGGCGTCCTACAAAATGCAGCAGCTTGGCTGCCAGTCTTTGCCAGTGGTTTCCGAAAATTCTACACAAGTGCAAAGCAACTTGTGGCAGGCGGCAGGTTTTGGCAGCCCGCATGGGGCAGACACAGGCAGGACGTTTTTCTCTCCCTCTGCCCTTCTGTCCTTCTGGATGTCGAAGGAAATGCCGAAGTCGGCCAGCGCGGTGGAGGACACGCTCCCTCTTCAGATGAGAGGTGGCATGAAGGACAGGGATAGCTGCGTGACCTGATTCGGTGCTGCTGTCATCCCAAGTTGACCGTAAGGACATGTCTCCGGCAGCAGCTTGGCCTGAGCACAGCTTCTCTTCTTGCTTGCAGCATCCTCGAAGAGTGCGAAGTGTGAAGTGCGCCCTCGGCTGTCGCCGACAGTCCCGTTGAAAGCTAATGGAACTTCGACCTATCACTGAGCTCCCCGGTTTGGGACATTTTGGGACCGGACTTCTGGCAAAGAAATGTTCATCACAGAAGCAAGGCAGCAGGGCTTCCAAGCAAAATCGTAGGTGCCCAAGCAACAAGCATTTTGCAACGCTGCGCCGACCATGCCGTGCATTGAACTCCAAATAACAGACGCAGGCACAGGGCTTCACCTGTAACTTGTGCCCAGCGCTTAGCGCATGTTTGGGCGCTGAGCCTCTACTCAAGATGGGAGATCCTTTTGCCGGCACGAAGAGGAAGCAAAACGAGTCTTCGCGTGTCACTATCCGATCCCCGGCGAGGCCTAACACCAAGCAAGGAAGAGTAGGACAAACTCGTTCGGCATGTCATTTTCATCTTGCCTTAACGCGAAGCTACGCTAGCAGCGCACCTTGCCTGCCACCCACGACTGGAATGCATTGCGCGTCTTCTGTGTTTGCGTTTTCTGCAAGCTTCAGCAGCACAGAGCTGCATCATGTAAGAAACCTATGCCATGCCAGATTCCTCGAAGTTAGGCTTACGCGCTGGACCCGAAATCGTGAGCATAGTATCCATGATGCCGGGCAAGTCCTGCGGGCTAGTACCTTGTAGGCTTGTTTGCTACAGGTACCAATCAGCTACCCGAAGAATTGAAAGCACACTGTGCGTGCTGGCACAAGTGTACTTCTGCTCCCGAGGTCATGTTCGGTGGTTTTTCAAAGATACCGCCTCCGCCGCCACCACCACCAGCTCCTGAAATGCGGATGCAGTGGGAAGCGATGCCGCAGCAGGATGATGCCTGGTGCTGGTCGTGCTAGTTGAGAGTTTTTTTGTGCTGCAGAGTTGGGCGAAGTAGGCCTGAGAGGGTGTCCTTCACATCGAGGACCCAAAGCTCCAGATGCGGCACATGGCGAAGGCACTTTGACTCAAAAACAGTTTGGTCAGGTGATTGTGTAGGCTGTTGTGTCGTGCAGGTAGACGCGATGCGGCCTATGCCTAGCCAGCAAATCCCCCAATATTGGTCACAACCAGCACAGCGACTTGGCAGCCTTCGATGGCAGCCTTCGAGTGTCAGAGCATGCTTTACCAGGGTGGCTGTGCCTGTCTTCCTTGAGTACCTGAGGCCTGCTCAGCACAAGATGACGAATACGCCTGTTCCAGTTCCACCTGCGCCTCCTCGGCAGGCGTGCAGCATGCGACGGGGAATACGTTGTGACTATGACCATGTGGTCGCATGCGACATATCGGTGAGACTCTGGCTTGAGCAGTGAATCGGCTGCCAGGGCCAGGTTCCCAAGAAGGAGACTGGTTCTGCCTCTGCATTGTAGACTCAGGACACTGCTGGCAGCGTTCAGAAAAATTTGCGTTGGCAGGAGCCTGCAAAGCCAGAAACCAAGAGGAGCGACCCTAAGATCAAGAGGGAGCAAAATGTCGCCTGGCTTTGAAGACTCCCCCAGGTTTCTTTTTCATTGGTGTGCGTGCAAATCCCTCCTGTTAACTTGTCAGCACAGTTTTGCCGATGGTTTCTGCAAGCCGCTTGCCAAGGCTTCATCCTCATCAGCGAAGGCTCGATGCTTCGCATTGCCAGGCAGCTCCAGAAGCCGTGAATGCCCAGGTTCGCCCCAGTGCTCTGGCACCAGGGGAGTGCTGGTTGCAGGCTGCTCGGTGACATTCAATAGGTGTCGTGCGGTTGTTGGTTTTGGTAGCAAGGCGGCATGCAAAAGAGTGGTAGGGAAACAGGCTGGCTTGTTGAACAAAAGCACGCCGAAGCAACAGATGTCTCAAACTCAGGTTATGGTGACAAATCATCTTGCGCCCGAAGTTTGGAAGACGGAGTCGGGGCCTCACATGTACCGCGGGAGCTGCAAGTCACGGTCGCTCAAAGCCGCGGCTTCGAAGCAGTTACAGAGGGCCTTTTGGTAGTCAACGGAAACACAGCACTGGCGATTGGGGCTCTGATTCTCTCGTGGATGGTGGTTTTGTGGCTCCCCTTCTCATGTTGGCAGCCTTTTGGATGTTGTGGTTATTCCGGTTGCGTCGCTTTGTGCAGTCTCCATAATCGCTTCACCTTTTATTCTGGACCCACAGCGTCCCTTTCTGTGTACGAAACATTCCCTAATCATAAAAACACAGTGGGGCCATTGGGCGAACCCTTCCGAAATCATCCCTGCCCTTTACGACCTGTTCTGAATTAGGGGGAGTTTCGAGGCTCCAAACACCCTTAGAGCACAGTAAGAGCAGGAGCAGAAGCAAAAGCAAGAGCAGGAGTCAGAGCAATAACAGGAGCAAGACAAGAGCAAAAGCGGGAGCATCAGCAAGAGCAAAGCAAAAGCAGGAGCGGGAGTAAGAGCAAGAGCAGGAGCATACGCGGGAGCAACAGCAAGAGCAGGAGCAGGCGCAAGAGACGCAGCAGAAGCGCGAGCAAAAGCCAGAGCGTGCAAGAGCACGACCCCTCAAAAGTGGCAGTAGAGTAGAGATAAACATACCCACAAATAGTTCAAACACTTTCCGAGTTTTTAAGGGGGGGGTCCCCCGTTTAAAATTACTTAGGGGGAAGGGCTTATGATGGTAGGGACTTCATGATGCCGGAGCAGTCCAGGCTGAGCTGAAAAGGCTCTGCTTCTTTTCTCCTGAACTTCGTAGTGCTCAAACTTCAAACGAAGTGCTCTCGGATGCATGAATGATGCTGGGCACCAGGGACGGAATCTTTTCGTCCTGCAAGAAGGGTTCTGCAGGGTTGGCAAAGACAGCGAGCTCTTTAATCCTATATTCCTAAACGGCAAGCCGATGCAGAAGCCCAGGTGTCTGCCCACAGAAGGGAAACGGGGTGGCTGATGCACCGCACTTGCTCACCCTAATAATCCTAATAGCTACTAGCACTAAATCAAATGATGCAGTTTGTAGTTAAGACATACCATCGTTGTTCATGTTTGATGCTCGAGTCTGGAGGTGATTGTATGTTGTTTTCATGCCCGCGGGCATCCCTCCCTTTCAACAATTGGTCGAATGCGCTTTGTGCTCGCCTTGCCCAGGAAGGACGCGGTTCGTGCCCTCCATCCCATCAGGGTGGCCTGACACATCTGTCTCCGCCTTGTTGCTCTCTACTCCGGCCTCTGTCTCGGTCTGTAGCCTATTGGTTTACGTTTGTCTGTGCCTGTCTGTGCATGCTGTGGGTGTTAGCTTGTTTTTCTTCCTGTGTCGGCCGTGCCTATCTCACTCTCTCCCCTCGGCCTCTCGCCGTCTTCCTGTGGGCTCCCCTTCCCTTTTCCCTTCTGTCCGTCTTTGCTGAAACTGGGCTTGGGAGTGCTCCTTGTACCGTGGGCTTTGTCAGCCAGTCGTCGATCATGACCGTCGCCATGTCAACTCACCCTAGAACGAAGGCGGTCTGCCTTATGGATACAGTACTACAGCAGCAAGGTCAAAGACAAGCGATTGCAAGAGTTGGCAATAGTGCCGCAACCCATGTGTGCTTGGAGTGTCGATTTATAAGTCTGGGAATTGCCGGGTCGCAGTCGACAGAGTTAGGCTGGTTGCAGTGTTCGCTGTCCGTTATTTTTCCACGTCCAGTTTTCTTAATCGAATCTGTTCGCAGTGAAGCATCATCATGGGCAAGGCCGTATGCCGAAATTTCAAAAGTCTTTCGAGGAGTGGAGCTCGACAGCGAGTTTGACAAAACCTGAAACCGTTCAGCGACGCCTTCGACAACAGAACTCGTACTCTACCACGCCGACATGTCCTTGCAAAGCCGAAAAGCTGAAGATAAATGTGTCCACCAGCATTCGGCAGAGAGTTCCTTGCAGGATCCTGCGGCACACAGAAAGCTCTGCTGTTGCGAAGCTGCCCAGGCCGCTGAGAAGGCTGAATGACCTGAACGAATTCTTTCAGAAGCTCTTGGGACGCAGACAGCGCAGACCGCTAGTGCTCGTTTCATGCTAGCAGCTGCGTCATATGTTTATGTGCGTGAGTTGCGTATTTGTGTATGTAATTTGCTTTAAGGGCAGTGTTCATGCACGTAGGCAGTATGTACGTATGTGTGTCTGGCTGTCTGCCTGCGTGCCCGTCTGTCTGTCTTGCATGATCCCCCATAACCTTTGTGAAAGTACCCTGTCATTTGTCGAG